TTTTATAATTACAATACTTTATTTTAGATGATGATGGTAAGCTTTTTTTGTTAACAATTATATAATTCACTATAATTTAAATCAAACTAAATCTATTCCTAAACAAAAAGATTTAAGTATAGATTATAATGGTAAGATATTTCTATATTTTAATTATAAAAGTCAATGCAATTTAAATAAGCTATATTTTTTCTTAATAAAAATTTATTGTTTTAGATAATTACGGTAATATATCAAACTATATTTTCGTCATGTAAAATTAATTAAAAATAATTTATTGAATTAAATTATTTATATTTAATTGTAATCTCTCAATTTAATGAACTATATGGAGTAATTTATTGACTAATTAATATGGATGAATGTTTTTAAAAAAATATAGGAACTTGTTCAATATGCAATGAACAAAACACTGGATACGATTGGTGTAAACAATGTAGTTCTAAACAGTTTCAAACAGAATTTATTAAATGGACTAGTAGAAATAAGTTTATTGATGAATTTATTCAAAATATTCAAATTAATGCTCATAATAAAAAAACAAGTTTAAGAATGGATTCCTTACAACAAACTTGAAAGTATTGAATATCTTGATAAAGGGGAATTTAGTACCGTGTATAAAGCTATTTGGTCAGATGGATATAGATTGAGTTTAAAAGTATATTCTCATAATAACATTAAATGGGTTCGATCTGACAATTAAATATTGTCCTTATAAATCTTAATGAGTCTTCAAATCAAAATGAGGAATTTTTAAATGGGGTGTGATATTAATAATTTAATTGTAATTTGAAACTTATTATTTATACTAAACCGATTTTTATATTATAGTGGAAACACCATTATAATTGTTATAGTCAATTAAAAAAATATTCAACTGAAAGACTTGTTCGATTATATGGATTTACTCAAGATCCAAATACTTTAAATTATATGGTCATAATGAATTATGCAGAAAATGGCAATTTAAAGAAATGTTTACCAAATATTGTTAAAGATCAATGGATATTAAAGTTGTTAAAATTACATAATATTATTAGTGGACTTGAAGAAATACATCAAAAAAATCTTATTCATCGCAATATTCATCATGGTAATATTTTAAATGTAACAAAAAATATTTTTTCTATTAGTGATCTTAGATTGTGTGAACCTTTAAATTATTTTCAACCATCTGAAACAAATGGTATTTGCGGTGTTTTACCATTTATAGCACCTGAAGTTTTAAGATGTCAACCTTATACTATGGCTAGTGATATATATAGCTTTTCTATGATTATGTGGGAATTTATATCTGGAATTCCTCCATTTGATGATAAAGCTCATGATGAAAATCTTGCCATAAGTATTTGCAATGAACAACGTCCTGAAATTATTAATGATACTCCACAATGTTATATAAATTTAATGAAAAGATGTTGGGATAATGATGTATTAAAAAGACCAACTGCATTAGAAATTAAAAAAATCATTGAAAATTGGTATTCAAATATTAATATTAAAAATTTTGATAAAGAATTTAAAAATGAAGTTTTAGAATTTTATAAAGCAGATAAAGCTTTAATTCAAAATCAAAGTAATATTTCTCCTATTATCAAATCACATTCACAAGCATATCATTCAAGTCATTTATTTGAATTTACTCAAATTTAAATGAAATTCTAAATCGAAATACAATTTAATCAAAATATCATTTTGATTTAAATTTTCAATATATCTAATTTACTTATTTTTTTTCTTATAATAGATAAAGTTTTATAAAAGCTGATTATTTTTATTTGAAAATATATCATCATTTATTTATTTTTATTTTTACAAATATGTTATATTTTATTATATGACAAATTGATTATATTTAATTATTTATTTAGTATATTTGTTTATCGAACACTGAATATAGAATAACTATTTAGTCAGTCAGTTTGTAATCACATTAACAAATTAAAAATAAAAAATAAATAAATATAATAAATTAAATAAACTTTACTGAAACTCTCTAAATAGTATCGATAATAATAAATTAAGTTTTTCGTTACTACATTAAACTGATATTTATGTGGTTTTATACTAAAACATATATAGATTAAAAAAGACTTACTACAACTCCAATTTTTTAATTTTTATAAAATTTATAATTTAAAAAAAAGCTATTCTTCATTTCACAGATATACTAGTCTAAAATTAATTCTTTATTTTTTAAATAAAATATTTTTTAACTCGTAATTACTTAAATTAATTAAAATTTTTTGTAGCGCTCACGTTTGTTATTTATAAGCTGTATATAGTTGATAAAATTCAAAAATATTTATAGGAAGTAATTATATCTTTACATTGTATGAGTTCCTTACATCGGTGATCAATTAATTTGACAAAATAATCAATATATTTTTTATTTGATTTTACTATTATAAGAATATCTAGTCATAAAACAACTTTTTTTTTTACTACATCGTGATTTATTTGATATATAAAATCATCAATCAAAAAAAATATTATGAAATTTGATGCGGTGGCTAGCCATAGTTTGTATAATTGAATATGGACTTTATGAGTATTGTAAATAAAATTCAAGTTGAATATGAAGGAACGACATTGCAATTAAATGCATTACTTTCTCTGAATTTTGTTTTTCACCATATTTACCAAAAATTAGTTTAATAAATTATTCGATCGATTCGACATTATTTCTCGCATTACTTCTTTTTTAATGAAAATACTTCATTTATATTAAAATTGGACAATAAAATTGAAAAGGTCATTAAAATCTGGAATTCCTTACTTACTCCATCAGCTTCCAATAGTTTAAGATGTTTTTATATAATTCATTCAGAACCCGTTAAATATTTTCTTTTTTTTTTAGTTGCTGTAACATTACAGGTCTACGCAAAACTTTCCCTTAATGTATAATTCCAGCCGGCATTATGTAATTTTTGCCCTTAATAGATAAATTTCGAGTGGTACGTACCGTAAATGAATATTTAAAGCGGGATATTCAAAAGAAAGTGCAGAAAAGACAAATGGAATTCTTATCTTTAATGAACAAATATTTCTCCGGAAACCTTTGAGTTAATTTTAAAATTCCTTTATAATAAATAGAATTGTTAATTTAGATAATTAATTTTTTAAAAAATAAAAAATTGTATATTTCGAAGCTACATATTTATAATGTTTATTTTTATTTTTAATATCTTGTGGGGTATTCTTTGAGTTTTTACAGCTTCAACACGGTGAGGCATATTTATTAAAAGTCTATTATAAATTGATTCACCAATTTTAAAACCATTTCTCTTGAAAAAAAGTAAAAGTTTTCTCACTAGTTGGTAATGGAGTACGTCTACGAACCCGACGTTCTAATTCATCCCAAGATTTTCGATGGGATTGAGATCAGGACTCTGAGGAGGCCATGGAATTTGGGTAATATTTTTTTCTAACTTACTTTATGTGCCTAATGAATTGAAGAATTGTCATCCTGAAAATGTAATCATCAGTGATTCTAAATATGGTAAAAAATGCTTTTTAAGAACCTCGATATAACTATCTGATGTTTGTCTTCCACCGAGTCGACTAACGGTCCCAAGCCAGCCGCAGTAAAACATCCCAACAACATAACTCCCTTTCTACCTGAATTAAATGTTGGTTTAAGAGAGTCTCCAAACATAATTTTGACATAAATTCAAAACAGGATTCATCGATTATGCTAACAAATGATTTTCTAATTCGAACATAAAACCCTTCTTCATGAAGGTACCGTTGCAAAGTTCGTGTTGAAACATTAATTAATGTTGATTGTAAACATTCATTTTGCAAAACATTTATCGTTGATCTACGGTCTTTTTTTAACGATATGCAATAGATGACACATTTCGCGAACATTTAATAATTGTGGTCTTCCACTTCGAGTTGGAAGTTTTATTTCTCCAGTATTATTGTATCGATTAACAACATTATAAACTGTCGAATTTGCCAATTTAAGTTTTCCAAGATCCAACAATATGATTTCGTTCACCTTCAGATAGTTCTTTAAGTTTTTTGTACCATTGCTCAAAAGAATTACGAATGAATTAAAAAATAAATGTTATAGTTTTTAAAAAAAAATACATTTTAAATAATTTATTTTTATTGATTTCCATTTTATGCCAATTTTCAATTGCGCAAAATACAAAGTATATTCGCCTCGGTCTGGTCATAAAATTGACATTCGGTGATTTTTTCTCTGGGGAGAATACATAAGAAATCCTTTTTTTCAAATTTAAAGCCCTGTAAGAATAATGCAAACGTAATTATAGTTACAATAGCAGATTTATAATAGTACGAATAATACATCAATTACAGGTAATACTATTATTTCTTGCAGTTACTACTAACTATCGTTGTCATGTTAACTTATTCCTTTT